CCTCTCGAAGTTGCATTAGAATATGTACTCTGGAAAGTATGTCACGCTGGATTTTATATTTCAAATCATCAACCTGAAATGTGGCGAAATAAATCTATTGAGAAGAAAAGACGTTAGAAATTGAGTAAATCGAACAAAATCGAACCATGCTATCGAGTTCCCGGATTCTTTCTGAGTGTACTTGTAGAAAATCATTTAGATAATCAATATTATTGATGCACTTCATCAACTGCTCCTTACTCATCCTTAAGTCTTGACGAGTTTAATAGTACATTCTGAAAAGGAGAGACGTGAGAGAACTCACTTAAACCGTCCCCTGCATAAAAATATCAATGGACGAGTTTTGCGCGACGAGCACCTCGTGATCACGAGAGGAGTTCGCTGTGGGACCAAGGCATACCCTCTCTCTAACAATGTTTGAATTTGACACTTTCACGTCAAAAGCTGAAAGAAAGAATGGATTCCTTTTTGAAATCATTGTTAGTGGCGCTAGCACAGTACAGTCCATATCTCAAACTCTGATTGGGCGCGCCACCGGAAACGACGTGGCGGCCACCGCACGTGGTAGGGGTACCCCCAGGAGGCCCGTCGCGCGGCAAGAAGGCAAGTCAGCGGACGAGTCGCGCGCGTACTTAGGGATTTCGCGTCAAGTTAAATAGAATGTCCCATTGCACGTCCTTCATCGCACATCACGCGCTGCAACTCGTCCGCGACTCTGCCTTCTTGCCGCGCGATGGGCCTCCTGGGGGTACCCACGTGATAGATGTCGTTTGCATAAGATATACAATGAGTTATCAGCGAAGCATGCTGGAAGCATTTATCCTCGCAACTCTTATCAAGTGCGGTGGCCGCCACGTCACTTCTCCCATGCTGTAAGGGGAATGCGGTGCGACGGTTTATACTGCCTGAGGTAATCCAATTTACTCAGGGGCAGGAAGCCTGGGATGAGTGAAACGGAACCTCTCCGTGTGAAAATTGGAGTTTTTGTATGCAGCAGCAACTGACACTACATGTCTTCCTACTAGGTAGAGTCAAGACATCAAGAAGGTTCGGAAGAAATGCGTAGATCTTGAAGGGTGTGGTTCACTAGGACAGAAAGCGACTTTTTCGCGTTTCGCAGCGCGAAACATTGTTCGTTGCGGGAATCTCGGGTCCACTGATGATTCGCTGCGGGAACCTCGGGTCCACTGATGATCAGCGGTGGACCTGAGGTTCCCGCAGCGGAAAATGTTTCGCGCTGCGAAACGCGAAAAAGTCGCTTTCTGTCCTAATGAAACACTCCCATTCTTGAATGCTGGTGCTCAACTTGAAAGCGGCCACACTGTTGTTTTTTGGGGTCTACACTTACATATCCACTTCGTTTGGGGAATGTTTCAATGTTCTGAGCTTTAGTATGTTTCTTTATGCATGCTAATACAGGATTAAAAATTTTTACCACATGGAAATAAGCTGATGTCGTCTTCTCTTTATCATATGGTAGGAACAATTACGATTCTGTTCCGTCGGCTAGACCTCGCCGCTGCTGTGACCAAGTTTTCCAATGCCCATCCAATGGATCGAGCAGCCTGACAGTACAGTAGTAGGAAGTGAAGATTTTGGGGTATGAAATAGCAGTAGCTGTTTTGCTTAATAAAAGCATTTTTCATGAACAAACAATCATCAGAGTAACAATCGTGCACGCAGATCAAATTCTTCTTCAACGAAAACGAACGGATTCGGATTGCGTTTGTTCATATGAACCTATCAAGGCGCTATACGAAGTAGGGTGGGCACGCCCAGCTTTTCACGCATGTCAAGTGACTGCCCTCACCCCCCCAACCCCTAGATTGGCTACACTCCCCCTGGCTCACGAATTCCCCGACTATTCTCACGTGACGTGACAGTATAGTAGCGGGCAGCAGTCCCACTTACATACATTTCTTTTGAAAAATGCGGCGTACCCACCCTACTTATATAGCACCCCAATCGAATACAGTGCCGTACCCTTACAAGGCGTCTGTCACCCAAGATCTCTCTAGCCAGGAGGGTGCAGACGAAACGCACTCTGAATGAGCTGGAAGAGACACAAGACGACATATTTTGCACCGTCTACCCGCGTTGACAGAAGCCCTAGGACCGTCTTATTGAAGAGATCTAAAATCTGTTACAAGCCCACGTTTCAGAGTAGATGTCAAGTGTGACAGTGGCAGCGTCACGCGAGGTCACTTCAAAATTATTGGAGTCCCGCCGCGAGCGCTGCAGCATACGATACGCAGCGCATTGCGATTAGGGCAACATTTTGCCTTGGTGCTAGAAAATCGATCACAAGTGGAGCATCGAAAATTTTGTGAAAAGGGTCAATGTTGGTTCAACTTTGATTGGGAGTGGGAAGGGACGAAGGTGCTGTAGTGTAGAGCACCTATGGTACTAAAAAAACATGACAAACATTCTCCCTCAGACTCACTTATTAGGCTGAGTCATAAGTTTTGACTAAAATTTTCAAAAGTTCACAACTTTCTTTGAACCACCTTGGTTAAGTGCCCTATTTACCACAACTGTCTACAAGTGTCCTCTATCTATCCGCAAGTGAATGGATACCTCTCCCACAAAACTACGCAACCTTCGACGTCAAGAATCAGTGGATGTCTGTTTTGAGGTGGTCGCCATCATCGTAGTTTTTCTCGTTAAGGAAACGAGCAAGCAAGCGGAGCAACTGGTGCTTGGTTGCTATACCTCAGTGGATTAGAAAGAGTGGGGAAATCATGAGGCCAAGTTTCTGTATAGTATTCTGGCATTCTCTCGATACATGTGGGTTGCGAGCTGCCGCGCAGTGGAACAATTTCATGTACTGGAAGCCTCAACTTTGCGATATCCGAAGCAAGTTATCAGCTGTAAGCAGTAGGTGTCTGCGCCGGCAGTGGTGGTATTGTTTGAAGTCTGATGAAGCAATCCTACAATCGGAGAGCGGAACCTACTCCGGGTGAAAGTTCACCTATTGGGGCTCGTTGTCGCTGCTGAGCTGCACGTTCCCACTGATGCCTCCGTAGGTTGCTTGGCTAGACTGCGCACTCCTCAACCAGTGATCCGTCGTAAGGCCGATCGAAACAGCGCCTTAATGCAGCAAACTTTGTGAGATGATCACACGTGTTGCACTGCGTGGGTAAGTTCGCTAGGGCAGGAACGACTTTTTCACTTTTCGTAGCGCGAATTTTTCTCGTTGCGAGAACTCAGGTCCAGCGATCAGCGTGGACCTAAGGTTCC